TATTACCCATAACACTATCCAGTTGCTGATAATCACTTGCTGGTTCACAATCATTTCTTCTTATTGCTCTCTTCTTTTTTCAAACTGCTCGGGATGCCTGCCCTGAAGGACCACCGGAGCTGGAGGGAACCAGTTTAAGATGTATGCCTCCTTCAGGCTCTACAGTTACCCGAAAGACTGAGGGGATTAATGTCTAGCAGTACATATGGGAGGCTCTGGTCTAGGGAGTCCGTTTGACCTTGGTTAACAAACTATGAGAAAGAATTTAGAAAATGGAAAAGGATAAGTATTAACTATTATCAATATTATTTAACATAATAATGAAAAGAAAATACCATCTCCAAGGTACCCATTATTATTATTATTATTATTGGAGAGGTTTTTGCTATAGGGCGTGTGTGCTCACCAGACAGACAGAGAGAGAAAGAGAGACAGAAAGTGAGAAATCACCCCCCAGGGGGGATGGCCACGCCACAATCCCTTCTCCTCCATTCTCCTCTCGGGATCTTGGCATGCACACACACGTGCCCAGTGTGAATTTAAGCCACCGGATCCGGGACTCGACCCATGGTTGACTACGTGGGAGTCCAGAGACATAGCCATTACGCTAACTGCTGGTCCCAATTATTATTATTTTTTTAATCTACAGAGTGCACACACACACACACACACACACACGTTTATGCTCTTTGTATCAAAAGAAGTATTAATAGCATCCTGGACTGTTGGTATAGTTAGTTTTCGTTGTTACGTATTGAAATAGTTATTGGATTCAAATAGTTACTTTCTTTCTTACTGAAAACATTGGTTAGGCACCTATGGATATGTTTTAGAACCATGGTTTAGAACCATGAAATCAATTTAATGGACTTTGATCATTATTTTAAACAAAACCTGAATTAAATGGAACAGAATCAAATGGAAAATAAAAGCACATTACATGTAGTAAGGATAAACATTGTTTCTTGAAAATTGTGTTTGTATGTTTTCTGTACTTGTGTACCGAGTTGTGATGGAAAATGTATTTTTTATAATGAGTTTGAGTTAAAAAAATAAGTGAAAAATGGTGCCTTCATAAAGCTATTTAATGGGGGCATTAATAATACATTTGGAAGAACTTATGGAGGAGTAACTTTTAGGAAATCTCTGGTATAGGATAAAAACACACTTTTGGGACCAGCGGTTAGTGTAATGGCTATGTTGCTGGACTCCCACGTAGCCGACCACGGTTCGAGTTTTATTTTTGAGTAATTGCTGTGAGGTGGGATAGCACTGTTACTCAGGGTAACATTCCTTCCCCTCTTCCCCACTGCTTAAAAACTTTTTCTTACATAATCCTGTTTTCTAGCAACATCTGTTTACTAGTTCGAATAATAAGCTTCATTTTTAGGGAGCCACCCTTTTCTTGTGATAGTGCTTCAGATATCTGAAGGGCAACCATTATTCAGGTATGGTGTATAGTGTATAGGACCCAGATATACTATATAGTATTTCCAAATAAATATTTCTCCCTCTCTGTGCTAAAAGTTGTTCATCTGTTTTACATATAGTAACTTTGATCCCCTCTCCAAAACTGTTTCTATCTAATCATGTTTTAGCTTGTCAGTGGCCTTCTTAATACATGGCATCTGCATGCCATTTTTATAATGTGATCTTTCAACCTTACCAGCTCACTTCTTCTTTTTTTTTTAAATTTATTTTTACATTTTTCCACAAACATTTACTTTACATATCAAGAATTTGTAACTCATACCCCATAGTTCTTGAAAGTTAATAAACAACTTTCAAAATTTCAAAATTCTGAGTTTTAAAGATAATGTTCAAAATATTACTTATAATTTTGTCTAATTTTGTTTGTGACTCTATAACAACAGAAACAGTATGGTTTTAAATATTTTTGAGAAAATATTTACATGTCAACTACTCAAATTGTTGAAAAGCAAATGCCCAGCACACTAGTCTCACATAAACCTTCTCAATTCA